TTTCGAGGCATGAGGTGACTGAAGATCTTCAAACTTTTGGAGGGCTCATGCGAGCGATGGGTTATTCGTGGCACACAGGATCAACGAGGAGGAACTCCAGTAGAAATGTTTCCTCAAGAGGGAGGCAACGGTTAGCAAGTGGGTCCCCCACTGCAGCGTTGGACGCCACATGCAGTCCAATGATGCATCAGAAAAATACTGTTGAAGTGGGACTTGAAGATAGAACCCCTACAGTTTGGGGGAACACACCAAGACGGCCCCGGAGGCAAAGGTGCCCTGCAGGCAATCCTCCATTACATGTGCCTCCAACATAATCTGGTACGAGGCTTGATGTCTTAATGGGGCTTTTGGAGGATAAAAAGATAAACGCTTCTTGTGGAATTATGGTTGTTATTGTTAGGGAGCCGTCGGGGTTAACGTTGTACATTTTCTTTACCCATAATTTGGGTCCCTTGATTGTCCCTCTGCGGTGGGTTTCCTCTTTAGTTATTCATGAATAACTACACGATGTCTGTGGATATTGGTTTGCACTTTAATCAGGTCCTCTGCAGAGTCTTTTGTACTTTGAGTGCTGACTCTCTCGGGAACAAGAAATGTTCCTTTTGTTTCGTACTTTTCGGATAGGAAGTGGTGTTTTGGGGGTTGCAAATCCTAAATTTCACTTTGGCTGACCATGGGGTGACTGGGGACAAACTTTCAAGGGCTCGTGATGGCAGGTTTTTGGGTTCACTCCTATACAGGCTCGACAGATTTGAACAATGTCGACACTAATATCAGCTTCCATCAATGGGGTGCATCATCATAATCGCTCAGCTCTTTCGCAAGTCTCGCTATTCCCTTCTTCGCCGGAAAATGGGACAAGAGACTAGTCTTCCTCTCTTCCGAGAGCGGATGGAAGTTGATGTTGGTGTGAAAATCAGGTCAAGATTCTCGGCCTAGAAGTTCATTTACTTGAAAGAAGTGGGCATGTATTTCATGAATGACACCATACCACAACGTGTGATCAATCAATGCAGTGAATCAATCTATTGGATACACTCCAAGCTCCAACCATACAGATCTGACATTTGGGATGGTTTCCATTGTGAAACACGTCAAGGGCCCAGACAATAGTTAATTAGAGATTGGGTGGAAGTTAGGCCATTATGGCATATGGGGGTTCATTTCCTTTGTTACTTCCTATCATAGCCATGCACGTGGTTAAGGGTTTTTATTTTTTTTTAATATTTTTGATCCAACAGATTAAGGGAAGTTCGGTAGAAGTTTTAGCGGAGAAATCTAATGAAGCTCGGGGATCCGAGTTCTTCACCCTACTTTTAATGATTCTTAGATCATTTTCGATGCTTCTAACGGTCCGTATGGAATCTGAAATTACCAAAGACATAAAAGAGTATCCTCGCGTCTTCCTTGAGGTGGACAGATTCGATCCTTAAAGCAAGATTACCGTGCAAAATACGGTCGAAACCTCCGAAGAGTTTGGGTTAGACAACAAAATAAGTTTCAAGAGAGAGAGAGAGAGAGAGAGCAAATGGAAGGAAGAACAACGCAGGAGATACACGCGCGAGGGAGGAGCGCGTGAGTGGGGGTGAGAGAAGGGGGGGTAATGAGGCAAAAGCGCCTGCCAGATACGACGATGTCGATGTCGGTGTCGGCGTGTGGATTTTTGGGTGGACAATCTCTATCAAATGAGTGGCTCCCTTCTCTCTCTGTCTCTGTGTGTGGGTCTGGTCAGACAAACAAGAAAGGGAGTCAGAATCAGAATCATAACCATACGATAAAACTCTTTTCTCTTTTCTGTCTTGTCACAAATCACATGGCCGTCAAGCCCACCAGCTGGCCCCACGAGAAATTATTGCCTGCACAGGATATCAGTGAGCCCATTTATCAAGACCCCACTTGGTCCCACACCACTTTAGATTTGTTTCGAATGAAATAAATGACCTGAAAAAATTTATTACATGTATCGTTTGAAATAATTCGCAAATGAACGACGATTTCTGTTTAAGTATTTTTGTGGGTAATGAAAATATTTTTTATTTATTTATTTTTGTAGGTGATATGAACGATCATTTTTTAAAAAATATTTTTCAATTCATTTAATTTTCCTAAACGGAGCATTAATAATAATTTTTTTTATTCTTGATATACTAGTTACACACGACAGAATAAAAAAAGATAATATACTGGAAAATATCAACTTCCTTATTTTTTGTGTGTTTAACAAACGCACTAAAACAATCATTAACGAAATCCAATAATACATTTATAAACATTTACCGTGGAATTTGATGATGCCCGCTGCTTTGGTTGATGAAACACATAATTATTAATGGTTCGGATGCATTATATGCCCCTGCTCATTTAATAATTTCTCTCGTTATTCTAGAAATAAGTCGCAAATCTTAAGAGGTGTTTTTTTTTTGTTAATTTGGATACAAAAACTTTGCTTCGAAAGTTTATATCAATCAAATTGAAACGGAAAGGAAGGCTGAATAAGGAATATACAATTGATTCGGCTAATTAGTAAGTAATTCCACTAGTTAGTTATGGACTTAACTTAGCTATTGTCTGGGATGACTGCAATTTGCTTCATCATTGATTCATTGGTTTTTGCATTGTCTTATTGTTTAACGGGATACTTATACAAATGGTCCATAAAACTTTTAATTTATTAAATGTGGTCCCTAAACTTTCGGTAAATATTCAATATAGTCTCTAGATTATTATATCCCTGAATTCAATCTGCATGTATCGAATGGGGGATCACATCGAACTAAAGTTTAAGGACCACATTGAACAAATTAAAAAATTAAAAATTAAATTATATATTGAATCAAAATTCAATGATTGTTTATGTCGTTTTTCTTTATTTAATTAGTTGCACCTTATAATGTTGACTCACACGCAGAACTTGGGACCATCACCTCCCACGAGGCCACCATCATTCCCTGTCACACCAAGAACCATCATTGCCTTGCTGAATCACCGACGAGAAAATATTTCTCACCACATGTCCAGACGGATCCACCCAACATCCCCCCCCCCCACACACACACACACACACACACACACACTCTCCCGTCTGCTACCCCCAATCAACCCCGCCGCAACCCGTCCACGATGGAGCTCGAGCCCCATTAATCTGCGGCTAGAGCTCAATGGGCGTAGTGGATTTTGAAGCCACCGAGCTTTCGAGAGATCTTGACAGTACACACATTAAAATATGTAATTATTAAATCATACTTTTATATAACAATTTAAATTTTTAGAACAGTTGGCAGTGATCCCATAAAATCTCACAGACAGAACATGGTGAAGGAGAAGATGACCAATGAGGGGATGGTCGTGAGCAACGGGTGGTGGCTTAGCTCGGGGCCAATGGCAGGCGTGGATGCTGACAAGAGAGGGGCCGAGCAATGGGTGGGTGGGTTACTTTTTTTTTTTGGATATATGGATGGATTTGAAATAACGAGAGGGGGGCAAAATCGAAAGAAGAATGACGATTTCGTTAATATCACCCAATCTTAGATGCAACCTACAGATGGAGTGGGAAATGCGAGGATGCGAACCGTAGGTTTTCAAACTTTCGAGAGCAAAAATTAATACGGGGACGAAAAGTGTGAGACGGTTTTTGAAATTCTCACTATTTACCTTGGGACGATGACGGTCAAATGGGCCGGCTTTATGCCGGCCTCGGTCCATACAAATTAGACCCCACGACCCAGAATCAACGGCCATGCTTCTCGGGCTCGAGCTTTTCCGGTGTTTCGTCTCCGCCCGCGAAAGAGGGCCCAATTCCAAAAAAAACCCCAAACTTTACACTTTGTCCCAATTATACTCTGAACTTTTTTTTGTCCCAAGAAAAACCTCAAACTTTGCTCTGAGTCCCAAATCTACCCTACCGTTATAACTCCGTCCAATTAACGTCGGAAAAAAAAAAAAAAAAAAAAAAACAACGGCCCGGTATGGCGTGGCCAAGCCTTCGCCGTGGCCGCCGCCACGCCCGCCGGGAAGGAGCGGCGGCCCTCGCTGGGCCTTCTCGAAGGCGGCGACCTCGCCGGCCGGGCGAGTCGCCGGCGAGGGCTGCGCCCCGATCTCGGGGCGAGGCGCGACCTCGCCCCGAGATCGGGGCGGAGGCCTCGCCCGGCGACTCGCCCGGCGCAGGTCGCCGCCGGAGGCCCAGCGGGCCGCCGACCCAAGCGAGGCGTCGCACAGGCCTCCGAAGGCCGACGACCCTCGTCGGCGAGGGATGCGGCCCCGTCTGGGGCGAGGTCGCGCCCTCCCCCCGGATCGGGGCTTGCTGAGCCCCTCGCCGGCGACTCGCCCGAGGCGGCGAGGTCGCCGCCTCCGGAAGGCCCGGCGAGGGCCGCCGACCCCGAGCGAGGCCTCGCCTCGGGCCTCCCGAGGCCGACGACCCGCCGGCTGGGGATCTGCGGCCCCGATCCGGGCGAGAGTCGCGCCCTCCCCGTGACGGGGCTTGCAGCCCTCGCGGCGACTCGCCCGGGCCGGCGAGGGTCGCCCGCCGGAAGGCCCAGGCGAGGGCCGCCGACCCCAGTGCGAGGCCTCGCCCGGGCCTCCCGAAGGCCGGAGACCCTCGCCGCCCCGGCGAGTCGCCGGCGAGGCCCGCAAGCCCCGATCCGGGAGGCGCGACCTCGCCCCGATCGGGGCCGCAGCCCCTCGCCGGCGACTCCGCCCGGGCCGGCGAGGGTCGCCGCCGGGAAGGCCCAGGGCGAGGGCCGCCGCTCCTTCCCGGCCGGCTGTGGCGGCGGCCACCTAAGCGAAGGCTTGGCCACGCCGCACCGGTGTTCTGATTTTTTTTTTTTTTTTTTTTTTTTTTTTTTTTTTTTTTTATGACGTTAATTGGACAGAGTTATAACGGTAGGGTAGATTTGGGACTCGGAGAAAAGTTTGAGGTTTTTCTTGAGACAAAAAAAAGTTCAGGGTATAATTGGGACAAAGTGTAAAGTTTGGGGTTTTTTTTGGAATTAGGCCCGCGAAAGAGAGAAGAACGATGCAGATCAATGGCGGGAACACGACGCAGTGAAACGAGAGTCGAAGGGCAAAAGACGCAAATGCGATCCATCTACGCACCTCTCCTGCGAAGAGGCAATCTTTTCAACAGCAGACATCACCCTCGGTGGATTCGTCGGCACTCGCAGCGACCCCTCGGGCGTTCTCAACTAGATCAGAGCAATATCATATCCGCAGTCCGCTCCCTGTCTTCTAACCCCTGCTTTTCTCTTCTGGGTTCTTGCCACGACATCCGCTCCCTCAAGAGAGCCCACGCCTTGCTGATCGTTCACGGCCTGACCGGCCATCTTCTGTTCGACACCAAGCTGGTTAGTTTGTACGGTGTTTTTGGGAATGTGGGGCTCGCACGCCTGGTGTTCGATCGAATTCCGGACCCGGATTTGTATTCTTGGAAGGTCATGCTGAGATGGTACTTCTTGAACGACCGCCACCCGGAAGTTGTTCGGGTCTATGGTCGGATGAGGAGTTCGGTTAAGGAGAATGATAATGTCGTGTTCTCGATCGTGTTGAAGGCCTGTAGCGAGTTGCGCGATCTAGATGGAGGGAGGAAAGTACACGGGCATGTTTTCAAGGCGGGTAGTCCGGATAGCTTCGTGTTCACTGGTCTCGTGGATATGTATGCAAAGTGCGGCGACATCAAGTGCTCCCGCCAGGCGTTTGACGAAATTCTCGACAGGAACGTTGTTTCCTGGACTTCGATGATTGTTGGGTACGTGCAAAACGGTTGTGCGGAAGAAGCGCTGGCATTGTTCAATCGGATGAGAGATGGGTTTGTGGGAGGCAATCAATTTACTCTGGGGAGCTTGGTCACAGCATGTTCCAAGTTGGGCGCTCTGCATCAGGGGAAGTGGCTTCATGGTTATCTGATCAAGAATGGTATTGAGCTGATTTCTTTCTTGGTGACAGCTCTTCTGGATATGTATGCTAAGTGTGGTGAAATTATAGATGCTAAAACTGTATTTGACGAGCTTTCGTCCACTGATCTTGTCTCGTGGACAGCAATGATTGTTGGGTACACTCAGAGTGGCCATGCTTATATGGCGTTGAAGTTATTTACGAATGAGAAATGGGCGAGCCTCACGCCAAATTCTGTTACCGCCGCGAGTGTGCTCTCTGCTTGTGCCCAGTTGGGCAATTTGAATATGGGCATGTCCGTTCATTGTCTAGGAATTAAACTTGGGTTAGAAGAGAGCACTGTCAAGAATGCGCTTCTTGACATGTATGCAAAGAGCCAAAGGATGGAGGATGCTTGTTTCATATTTAATTCAGTCTCTGAAAAAGATGTAATTGCCTGGAACTCATTGATATCTGGATTTGTGCAGAATGGGTCTGCAGATAAGGCCTTGGAATTGTTTCGACAAATGAGATCGGAATCTCTCTCTCCTGATGCTGTCACATTGGTGGTGGTCCTCTCTGCCTCTGCTTTCCTGGCCGTCCTAGCTGTCGGTTCCTCGCTTCATGCATACTCCATTAAAAAGGGCTTATCATCATCCAATATCCATGTTGGAACTGCACTTTTGAACTTCTATGCTAAATGTGGGGATGTGGAATCAGCCCGTAGGGTTTTTGACGGGATGGATTCTAAGAACACCGTAACTTGGAGTGCAATGATCGGTGGTTATGGGATTCATGGGGATGGTAGTGGGTCTCTCACTCTTTTCAGTGACATGTTGAAGGAAGAAATAAGGCCTACTGAAGTAATCTTTACTAGTATATTATCAGCGTGCCGGCACGCAGGCTTGGTTGGTGAAGGTTGGAGATATTTCAACTCGATGTGCCGAGAGTACAATTTTGTTCCGTCAATGAAGCATTATGCTTGCATGATCGATCTTCTATCTCGAGCTGGCAGGCTCGAGGAAGCATTGGAGTTTATAGAGAAAATGCCAATGCAACCAGACATTAGCTTGTTTGGAGCCTTTCTTCATGGTTGTGGACTTTATTCAAGGTACGATCTTGGTGAGGTGGCCATAAAGAGAATGCTAGACTTGCATCCTGAGGAAGCTTGTTATTATGTGCTCATGTCCAATCTGTCTGCTTCCGATGGAAGATGGAGCCGAGTTAATTACTTCACGGAGTTGATGGAAGAAAAGGGGTTGAAGAAGTCACCTGGTTGTAGCATGGTGGAGATGGATGCTAGGGATAAGTTTTCTGCTACCAGAGTTGCTACCGTACAGTAACGACGACAGCGTTAGAACTCTTCTTACAACTGGTTCATAGAGGTCAAAAGACGAGAGCATAATTAAATATTTGGACCGTCTTACTAGCGATTCTGGGGTCCAGAGTCCGGACCACTCTCAGATGGACACTCCAGTACGTCAAGATACATATGGTATGGTGAGTGGACAGATGATCAATAACTGATAAAGAATTCGTGCTAAGAAGACAATTCCGGTGGACAGATCTGAATAGACTGAAATTCCCTGGTTTGATTAGATGAAAGATCATGAAAATTCATCCAAGGCAGGATATTCATCTCATATCTGCAATCAAGCCTCGGAAAAATCATAAGAAACTGGTTGATTCTTCTAGGCTTGGAGTAGGTATGGTCAAATGTCAGCTTAGGAGTCGTCTGGTGACGGAGGTTTGATCAGCCTTCTATTCTTTGATGTGCACACTGGACAAAGTGTTATTTGGGACTCCATACTTGGAGTTTCAAGTAAAGAGTGCTTTTCCTAAGGCAATAGTAAGAAGAATGAAATTGTCGATCGATCAAAAAGTTTTCATTATCGACAATAATTTATATCTAAATATTTTCGTGAATGATAAAAAAAATTCGTAAGCGATTAATTTTAGGAAAATATTTTTCAAATTATTTATTTTTCGTGAAGCAAATGAAGCCAAAGTTTAAGTTACAAGGTAGTTATTACATGCTTACAGCCGACATCTACATCAAGACCTTGCCAAGTCAGCAAATCAAATGCTAAAATCACTCAAAAGCCGCACAAAGGTCAAGCCAAGTCAAAATAGAAAGGGAAAATAACATAAATGGTCCTTGAACTATGACACAATGCGCGATGTGATCCTTAAACTTTATCTAAATGTGCAATGTGATTTTCGAATTTTTAATTTGTTCGATATAGTTCCTGAACTTTTGGCACATGTTCAAACTAGTCCTTGAATTACATTAAAATGTTTAATGTTATCCATACACTTAAATTAATAAAAAGATAACATTGGTTATTTCCATATAGTTTATAGACTAATTTGAACAAATCAAAAGTTCAGGGATCATATTGCACATTGGGTTAAAATTTACAGATTATATTGGACATTAGGCCAAAGTTCAGAGATCATTCGTGTCGTTACGAGAGATGAATAGTCATTTCTCGAAGCAGTTCCCGCGAAACAGATTGAATTCCCATCGATGAATGATCTCGTCTGAAACCGAAGAAGCAAAGCTCCTGCGAACCTTTTGGCAGATCCTCGAGCGAAGACTTAGCGCCATTCTTGATGCTCGCAAGCTCGTGAATCGATGACCCTTTACATGCCCTTGTTCAGGGCATGCGCGAGCTTGAGGACGCTGGCTCAGCTCCACGCCCATCTCCTCGTCACGGGCCTCCATCGGGACCCGCTCGCTTCCACCAGGCTCGTCCAGTCCTACGCCGAGATGGGCTCCCTCGAATCCTCGCGGCTCGTCTTCGACCGCTTTCCCGCGCCCGATTCCTTCATGTGGGGCGTGCTCGTCAAGTGCTGCGTGTGGAGCCGCTCTTTCGAGCAAGCCGTCTCGCTCTACCGCGAGATGGTTCGCCGGGGGAAGGAGATCACCGGGTTCGTATACCCGTCCGTGTTGCGAGCCTGCTCTTGCTCGGGCGATCTCGGCGCGGGCGAGACCGTCCACGGGACGATCGTCAAGTGCGGGCTGGATGCGGACGACGTGGTTCGATCCTCGTTGCTGTGTATGTACGGAGAAACGGGCCAGCTGCATAATGCCAGGAAGGTGTTTGATGATATGTCGGGCAGAGATGTGGTGTCCTGGAGCTCGATGATCTCCAGTTATGTTGATAATGGGGATCCGAGCGGTGGGCTGGACGCGTTCCGTTCGATGCTTTTGCAGGGTTTGGAGCCCGACTCCGTCACAGTGATTGGTGTGGCCGAGGCTTGTGCCCAATTGGGTTCTTTGTGCTTGGCAAGGTTGATCCACGGTCAAGTGGTGACAAGGAATATCGAAAGTGATGATGCAACGTTGAATAACAGCCTTGTTGTAATGTACAGTAAATGCGGTGATCTGTCTAGCGCAGAGGTTCTCTTCAATATCGCCACTTGCTGGTCTGCTGCCTCATGGACTGCGATGATTTCGAGCTATAATCAGAGCGGGTGCTTTCGTGAAGCACTAGATGTTTTTTTAGAAATGCAGGTGTCCCAGAGTAAAGCTAATTCTGTAACCATGATGGCTATTTTATGCTCTTGTGCAAGGTTGGGGTGGCTGAGAGAGGGGCAGTCAGTTCATTGTTTTGTCATTAGAAATGCTATAGATCCCGGATATGATTTTTTGGGGCCAGCATTGATAGAGTTCTACGCTGACTGTGGAAGAGTACATGATAGCGAGAAGACTTTTATGACAATTGAAGAGAGAGATGCTGTCTCGTGGAATATGCTCATAACAGTTTATGCACGAAAAGGATTTTTAGAAGAGGCTTTATCAATATTTTTACATATGCGAGCGCAGGGAGTAATACCAGACTCGTTCAGCTTAACAACATCACTGTGGTCTTGTGGAAGCATGGGTTTTTCGCAGCTTGGATGTCAAATTCATGGTTTTGTGATGAAGTCCCATATTTACAACGAATTTGTACGAAATGCACTTATTGATATGTACTCAAAATGCGGTGACGTGGATTCTGCATATAGAGTGTTTCTTGAGATCCAACAGAGAGATATTGTTACTTGGAATACAATGATTTGTGGATTTTGTCAGAATGGTTATTCTCTAGAAGCCATCCATCTTTTTGATAAAATGTACTTGAACAGCTTCATAATGGATGAAGTCAGCTTCCTTAGTGTAATTCAAGCTTGTTCTCAATTAGGACACCTAAAAAAGGGTAAATGGGTTCACCACAAGCTCATCATCCATGGTGTAAGGAAAGATTCCTACATTGATACAGCTCTAACAGATATGTATGCCAAATCTGGAGACCTCAAATCCGCCCAAGCAGTTTTTGATAGCATGCCTGAGAAAACTGTGGTTTCGTGGAGTGCCATGATAGCTGGTTATGGAACCCACGGTCAGGTCGATATAGCCATCTCACTTTTCAACCAAATGGTGCAAATGGGGATTCAACCAAACGATATCACCTTTATGAATATCCTATCAGCTTGCAGTCACGCAGGATCTGTGGAGTACGGGAAATTCTATTTCGGGTTAATGAATTCCCACGGAGTTGCTCCCAAGTTGGAACATTTTGCTTGTCTAATTGATCTTCTCAGTCGTTCCGGGAATCTTGATGAAGCATATTCAGTCATCTCTTCCATGCCTTTCCCTGCAGATTCTAGCGTCTGGGGTGCCTTGATCAATGGTTGTCGTATTCATCAGAGAATGGACATTTTCCAAATTATTCAAAGGGATCTTTTAGATGTTCATACAGACGATACAGGATACTTCACATTGTTATCTAATATACATGCAGAAGAAGGGAATTGGGTTCGATCCCGGAAATTAAGGTCGACAATGGAAAGCGCAGGTTTAAAGAAAGTCCCTGGATACAGTTTGATCGAACTTGGTAACAGAACTTATAAATTTGGAGCAGGAGATATATCTAACCTGCAAATAGAGGAAATATGCAAACTCTGGGAAAGAAATCTTCAAAATTTGGCTCCGGAACGATGTTAGTTGGAGAATCATATTCCTAAGTGTCTGTAACATCTGCTTCCTTCGTATTTCTCCCTCACATGCAAATCCAATCCTGTCTTCCTCTCTTGGCTATCTCTCTCCTTCTCAATAGAGAGCTTCAATGGAGAACAAAGCAACTAATTTATTCCTTGAGGAAGATGAATGCGGATATCAAGACATCAAGGGGTGGAGTTTCTAATTCCACCATAGAAGAGCTATTCAACGAGCCAATTTGCTAGTCTATATGCCTCGAGATTAGTAGAAGTTCTCCTAGGCCAGGTTACTGACCAATGAGGATGGCTTCTAGAAAATTTCTAATGTCGCTAACAATACCAGCAATCAGCCAAGATGGGGTTTACAGAGGTAATGGCATGACTTGAGTGCTCTCGAATCACACTCAAACATGACAGTACTCCGGCCTTTATGCTGAACATATTGGATGCAGCAAGAGGCTGCAGTTCGACCTGCTGCTGCTGCTGTGGCACCCAACAAAGTCACACGGTGATGTCTGGTAATTAGAGCCGAAGTACCATTATGTGGGGATGAAAGCATCATCCACATTAATCTTGGTAGTACCTCCTGTTGGAGGTACCCCAGGACTATTGATACATTGGGTCTGCTAGGGAGGCTGGGATATGGTATTCCTTCCATTAGCGAGCTCTTCCTAGGTGCCTGCAGTTGTTTTATGATGCCTTGAAACGTCTAGTCTTGTGTCAGGATCGATGGACTTATCACGAAATTCCCACAATCTCCAATATTCAATGCCCCGGGAAGCTGTTTTTGGGAGTTCAATAAGCTTTGCTAGGAAATCTCTCTCCAGCAAGTGGCTGCATATGAACGCTCCAGCCTCCCTGAACCCACGTTATTATTCTAGTTGCTGGACAGTCGCGCACAACATGAAGTATTGTCCCGCTCTATTTGTGACGTGAAAGGACAGTATTCATCCACACGAGACATGCGTTTTGAAGTTCGCTCTGTAGTGGTTGGTCCATTCTGCGAAAATGGGTCTTCAGTGGCTCGCAAATTTTGCATAGGAATGCATGTTTCTTAAATAGGCAAAATTTCCGGATGAATTACCAAATGGCAGCAGGAGGGTCCTGGAGTACGTGCCTCCTTGCAGTTTTGTAGCCTTAGTGCTGTGCTCTCAAAACACAAAACTGAGGAAATTAATGCACAAGCCTTTCCTCTTCCTATTTTTTGATGGATTTTGGAGAACAGCAGTATCCTTATCTTAAGAACAATGATTAGAAATCATCTCCTGGAAAGAGAGAGTATTGGAGTTAGAAGTAACTGTTACTTTGTGAAGGCAGGCAGAAGAAAGCATTCTATCCAGTCAAATGCCCCGAGAGCCAGAAAGCAAAACTATTTTCAAATCTCATAGCTCATTCATCCAGGATACAACAAGAAACAAAGAAACTTTATTCTATTTTCTGTCAACAAATTGACAATCTAAAAACACTTACAGAGGATGAGGGGAAGAAAGAATAAACAACAGCTTATGATTTTGTACACAGCTGTTCGACGATGACGCAGCAAGCCCAGCTTGAGAGAGAGAGAGAGAATTGTGCCGCTGCTTGTCGCCCAATCAAACTGTAGTTGGTATTACTATGGTCGCTGATACACGTATTTGGTTCTGGGATCCACAATAAGACCCTTGCCACCGTTCACTTCTAAATCGTGCCTGCACATATAAACAAGTAAAGACCTTTATTTCTATGACCATTGTAATTACATGGGCCGAGAAGATCTCTTCGCAGATATATACGCCAATGCTACTAAATTTAATAGCCACAGAATGCCATAACCATTTAGAAGCTTCCTGCAGTCCTCTGGGTTATTAAAAATCAGCTAGTCAAATAAGTGCAACCTTGATACACAAAAGAACCATTGCTTTTGTTGTTATTGATTCGATTATGTGCAAAACAATTCCAGTTCCAATCCAGTAATACATTAAAAGAGGATGCAATTATGAGCATGCCACGAGTAAATATATGCAATTAGGGGCAAGCCATGAGTTAAGTTGATGTATATCCAGGGGTATGGAAATATGCAAAAAGACGGAACCGAGAACTTAACTGGAATACAAAATCGGGTATTGTCAACTGCTCACGAGGAACATATCTGAATAATTGCAGAAGTCGATCAACGTAAACCACTTTCTTCCACACCTAAAATTTAAATTGTCAATGCTTTCACAAATGATAGATAGCTTCCCCAAAATTTCAGCTTCTGCTGACATATACACAGGAAGAATTCGGACATACCACATTGTCTACAAACAACTGCAAGGCAAAAATTGTGGTCTTTAGGTGAAAAGTTGGGTGAAGAACATAGATTGCCTGCAAAAGTGAAGGTTAATGTACTTGCTACTACATATATGCACACACTCACAGCAAAATCACGTAATAAAGTACTGCATACATGCAAATTACGCTGGTGCTTACGACCGAGTATCTGTTGCAACCGCCTTATCCATCCCAGATCAGGTTGACTGTGAAAAATTGCACATGCGGTAAACAAAGTAGCTCACTCACCAAATAGAAAACCTACAAAGACTTCCATTTCACTTGCATACAAATGTGATTCTCAGAAACGTATCAGCTCACTCCACATCCAAGCCATCAATTTACTTCCTTTGCATGAAGTTGAAGTAAACAATACTTCATGATTTACATCTGTAGCATAATAAGGTACTTACAGCTGCAAAGATGCTGCAGAATGGAAGTATACAATAGTGTAAGGTTTCTTTATCACCGGCTCGAATTCCTGATAAACCATGATCACGAAATTTGAGTTAGTTCCATATGCTGTAAGGTCTAATTCAAAGCTTGAATCTATTATTCAACACCAAATTATGAAAGAAAGCTTTTTAGTGTCAGGGACGACAAAAAGGTGACTAGCCTAGCATCAATCAGGGCAAAAGAAATGGTCAACGCACTCCATCACTGAACAGACTGTAATATTGTAACATTAATCAGCATGTTGTATTATATATACATGTTCCTTTACTTAGCAAAATCTGTATACAAGTGCCAGAACTAGAAGACAATGGATGTGATACCCTCATAGGAACACTTTCAGTTAGCCCTTACAGACAGGTGGTGATCAGAATTCTCTTACTAGATATTACATGCTGAATACAAAAATAATTAACTAACACAGAAACTGCTTTATGCAAGTTTATACAGGTTTATTTTGGTTTTCTTTTTCCAATGATCTAAGAGGCACATGAGCAACCGATCGTCCAAACAACCAGATTGAACAGCTTATTCATAACACAAATAAGTATGGGCATATGTAATGGCCGGGTGTCAGTCATGTCAAAAGAACAAGTAACAGTTGTGAAACTGTAAAAACTGGTGCCTGTTACCTTTACAATATAGAGGACAAATCTTTCTAGATCAAGACAGCGCAGCAGAAAGTGTGCTCCCACAACTACCATCACAGGGCGTCCCTCACTGTCCACCCCACCTCGGTAACTGCAAACAGAAAATCCAATATTTAATCAGGAGAAATGTAGTTCGGGCGCAAGGGGATCTGCGCATGTGCATGTGTGTGAATTATGGATCACCTTTAATCTCAACAAGGGAACCACGGAGAGAAAAACAAAAGAAAAAATTGAAGATGGCATGGTCACACCCTAAAGAAAAACTGCCTGACTTGTCACAACAGCCAAGATGTTTAGGCACAACCCACCAACTAAACTAATCTACGCTTTCTTTCCTCTAATAAAGGTAAACTTAATTTAAAGTTTATGGGAAGGAAAATCTAGCATAGACAAAAGGAGTAGGAATAGATGCATACACAATCTTCATCTCCGCGATTTCAGATAGATTGATAGAATTGGCTTTAGAGAGGTATCTAGAATGAAGCGAGTATTCTTCAGCAACGGATAAAGGAGGCCCTCCGAGATCACCCAATCCAAGCAATCTAGCACAATTCCAGCCACTCTGTGCTTGGGCAGTTTTTTCCCATTGCTCCTTTCGCCGCTGATCTGGATCTTTAATCAATGACATGAAAGCAGGATCCAAGTATGAGTCCAAATACGAAGAATTCCTGTAAGACATAAGAAATTTAGCAAATTCCATCGATACAAACAAATGAAGCACAAGGTCAAAGGGAAAAAAGCGCAAATTTACAATCAAAAGTACTTTATTCATGAGCAAGCGCACCAAGTAAAGTGCCTCATACACGAAAGAGTAAGAAAGCATTAGAGGAATGCTTTTCAACTTCATTTGTTGTAAATTAAAATCATAGAGAATCCTACTTAAGAGCAGAAACAGATATATAAAAAGCTCCCGGGAGAGAGAATCACAGAGAAGCAAATTAAAATGTTCAGCCCTCTTTAGAATATAGATGGTCTTAACTCTCAAAACTACTTTTTATTCAGGACCATAAGTAGAATGGCCTCTTCAGATGTCATAACATGAAAACAAAGTCATATCGTATAATATGTATTCCAAGAAAGCTGAATGTAGACAAGTCATGACCTACTAAAAACAACGTTGCCATCACATATCAGGTAAAACAACCTTCTAACCAAGCCGACATCACTGACGGGAGGATCCTCAGGTGCTCGTGGAGGTTTGGGTATAGCCTTCTTTGGCAAAGGCTTGATTCGGATTTTACGTTCATCAATAATTGTCTCACCATTTTCATCCCCAACATCTGCAGGAAGCTTGGAAATGGCTACCTCCTCCTCGTGTTTATCTCGGGGAAAGTAAAGTGGAAGCAGTCTGCATTAGTAGTAGATATGAGAACTACACAAGAAACAGAAGTACAGGACAAGACGAATAATTGAAATAGGACAAGGAAACCCAAAATCCATGCAAAGGCGTCATAAACTACTTGTGCTTTTAGTCTCAACTAAATTACAACAATCTACATACCTTTTATAGATCTCTGTGTCAACTGCAGTCGTGGTGCAAAAAACAACTGCTTTAATTTTGTCCTTTTGCTTCTCGAGAAAACGGCGAACAGTCCCTATAGGAATAAACAGAAAGCAGAACCACGAATTTAAGAGGAAAAAATAACCCTTATACAGAATAAGCACCAATGTCAGGTGAAAGAGTGTTGGCTTGATCTAGTGCAAAAGCTAAATCAACAACTTAAGGAAGTTAAGAGATATGTTGAGGAATATGTCATGATCTTGTTTATGCTGGAAGCCAGAGTCAGATTTGTGGATCCCAGAGCCACCAGGGACGCTAGCACGCAAAATTAGCTCAAGAAACGCTTTCTTTCCTACTATAGAACTGCTGTGCGTTTGCTTTTAGTTGACATGTTACTTCAGTTTTATGCATTTGAAGTGAAATCAGCAAAGATGGAATTGCAGGATTATCTTTCAAACTTCTAACAGGAATATAATCCACCAACTTTTACTTAATCGCCATGGTATTACTTTCTAGTTCCTTTTTTCTTTTTGTCTTTCCTTTTCACCACGGTAATCGTATTTGCCGATGCTGGCTCATCATCTTCCCTGTTTTTTGGTTTTCTCTTCTTCTTCAATTCTCAATAGCATACTTTTCATCTGTTTTTCTCTTTGCTAATACAATGGAATTCCTTTCTATTAACATATATATAAGTTTGTACTTGCTCTTCAATGTCCTATCACTACCTTTATATTTAGCAAAGCCCACAAGTAACTTATTCGGAATGAGTTCCAGCTATTGCCAGATGGCGATTAGAAAATTAATACAAGGAGATCCTTCAACTACAGAGAATCTCTTTGTTGAAATAGTAGATACTCTCTATCTTATCTGAGGTAGATATCAATTTCTGAAAGATGTATTTTAATAACTGATCATGCCAAATCACATTTAGAACATTAAATGAAACAATTCCAATTGAAAAAACGGAGAAAGAAATTCTGTGCAATTGATAAGAAAATTATACAGGATCATGATATAAAATTGTAGAACACTAAACAAATTCTCACTTATAGCCACATGTGCTGCTGGCTCACGTGGATAATTCTTTGAGTCTGTGTATATGCAACCCATGGCAATGCTGCATAATATATGAGAAGAAAAGTGAGGCTAACACTTCAAGTTTTCAAATAAAAATAGAACTACGGTGAAGGAAATAATACAGCTTCTAATCTGGCACAACCTTTGAAGCCCATTATCAATAAGAAGTTCAAGGCAAGCGCGGTAACAATGACTTAATGCATTTTCAGCAGCAGTATGATATTTCACAGCATATTTGGGACCAACAGTATGAATCACCCTCCTACAATCGAAAACAATTACATTAGTTAGCCACTCAATCATAGCATACTGCTGAAGTTTGATTAAAGTGAGGAATTTCACAAATATCTGTTAATGGCCATGGCCAGCCTGTTCAATACAGAAAAATATACCAACCTTGCAGGAAGATCATATGCATGTGTAACTTTTGCCATTCCAGTCCGACATCCCCCCTGTGCCCAAAGTACGTAAATAAAAAGTCAAATCCACCATGCAATTTCATACTTCTAGAGAAACCTTCATTCCATGATAACAATGGCGAAGGCCTTGCTTTGCAAATATTAAAGCTAATCAAGACGAAAGTTGATCTTGATGCCCATAACTTTCATGTTTCCCTAAGTTCTGTCCATATCAACTCAGCTTGACAATAAAATATAGTTGGCAATGCCTGTAAGAACACAGATTCCAGTCAACAGCAGCACTACAGAACCAAAAAATTTTCACTCACCAGTGTCGCACATTCTTCAGCGAGACCAGGCCCAGCAGCAGCATGTAAACCAGCACTACTGTGTGCTTCATCCATACTCTGCAATCATGAGAAGAGTAAACATGTCACAACTTTTTCCCAGAGAAAAAAGCATCAGTCTTGTCGCTTGTTCAAATGAATACAAGGTCCAGTCACTGAACTCAGTTTGTTCCAGACAATGCAATTTTTCGTTAAAATGCATGTTTAAATATGAAGCCAATTTGAGCTGCATGTACATCCAATAGTAGGCATATAGTGACTGAAAGGAAAACAAATATGACAAAGGGATGAATGAACTATTACCCCATGAAGCTTTCACGTGACGCTCAAACATGTCTATCAATGGAGATCTTGCATCAAAGGGTCCAAAAGTTGGCAGCGATTATCCACACAACAAAAGAACACTTTGATCGCATAGTTAGCGAATGGGACATACTTCTTAAACTCAACTCTCACACACAGAGCCCTGAACTGGAATCAATCATTAACTTCTTCTTTTTTTCGGGTAAGTAAGTTACTTTTATTAGCTCAATACCTCAAAGGGGAGAATAGTCCTATCCAAGCCCAAAGCAAGCCCAACTCCCCAATAAAAGACTCAAACCCATACAAACAATAACACTCACCCAATACAGCCCAAAACCAGAACCAGAGAGCTCAAGAGATGCAACAGAAACCAAAGCAGAGAAAACAACACCAGAATCAATCATAAACTTTAGCACTGCCTAATCAGAAATTGCAAGTTTCGTTGCAGCCATCGGCGAAATTTCACAAACTCATTCAGAGGAGATGTTGTGCCGTAATTAAGAAGTCAAAAGGAATCATCCTGCTGCATTTTGCGTTCTGACGTGCAATCCTAAATTTAATTTTCCCTGTTTAGGAGCAATTTCCCTATCCAGTTAAGAGTAACGTGAAAATGAAGTAGTGCGAACAAGAAAGCAACAACCGAAAAGCTATCCCGCATAATAGCAACAACCAAGGTTGTAACAGACAGCAAAAGAGTAATCACCTCGTTCGTAGAATTAACGACTGCATCCACCTCCAGATTCCATGGGTTTCCCCTCCACAGATATATCTTTGAGTTAATTTCATGTTCCACCGGAAACCTCGATAGCATCCCATTGCCAGTAATTTCAGAATATGACGTCAGAGGATCAGCAAAATATGAGTTAGAAAACGAAGGATCTTCATTTTCACAATCCAAGGACGATCTATATTCTGTATCACTCCACCGTGGAACCTGATCCAAACTCACAACATATTCCCCACTATCAGTTGGTAATCCACCAACAGTTGTGGCAGTGGCCACAGTACGGTACATTTTCCGTAAGTCGGAGACTATAATCTCAACTCAAGCCACCAATGATCGATTTGTCCGTACTGAAAAAGCGGACAAGCACCCGTGAGCAAGCACCTCCTGAATTCAACTTCCAATTGGCCCCCGCTATTTCACAATAAAAAAAAGAAATCACCAGTCAACCATATTTCCCCGGTACCAACCAAAAAGCAGAAAATAAGTATGCAGGTCACAGGTTGCACACCACTTTAACCTTCCAATCTACCAAGTGCAATTCAAACAAACAGAAACTCATTTCCAGACTCGTACTCCATAATTCAACAAAGAATGCAATTGCAGAACTGATCCACATGTCCAAATCAACTAAAAACCCAATTCCGAATTCGACGCATCCCCGCAGGGCATCGCGGCAAGAACACCATCAAGCATCACTAACTACCCAAATTTACAAAGACATCGCCGACGGCATCTCGGAGATTGGAAACACGGAATTCCGACAAAATCCCGAAGCTTAATCAGGTGGAAGCTCCGAAATTCACACAACAAAAACCCCGAAAAAACGAAAAAGCGGTCCCCTTTCCCCCTTCGCTCCACCTCCGTGTCCGCACAAGCGAGCGCCACGAACGACCAATTCCGACAACCTTCAACCGCCGCAAGCCGCGGCTCTTTCGACCCGAAATGGAAAGGGGAATCGACGATCAACAAGACCATGATCGAACGGAAGTAAGAGCGCACGCGCACGCGCATGGGGGGGAGAAGAAGCTTGGGCTCACCGGAGAGGTTGCCGGAGGAGAAGATTTGGGGGCGAATTGGAATGGCGAATCCGTTCGTACGACCAGTTGTGCTGGGGGTGATGATGGTGATTGATGAGCTTGCAATTTCCCAATTGCAGAGCTCCTCCTTCTCATCTGTTTTTTTGTCTTCTATCCCATTGTTTTAGTTCGTTGTTTTCTTGGGGGCCATTGCAAATAACAAAAGTAATTGGAAATAACAGGCAAACCCTTCGAAAGTCCCTAAATTCCTCTCGAGACCCCTTGATTTTTCCCCCGAATTTCACCTCCGTCCCTCAGGAAAAGAGAAGGGAGAGGCAGCACTCCTAAAAACTATCATTTCCCATTGGTATAATGATACAAATCGTCCCTGAAATATGATCTCTAAATTTTTAATTTGTTCAATATGGTCAATGTGGTTCATGAACTTTTAATTTGTTTAATGTGATTCTTGAACTTTCGATATATGTTCAATTTAGTCCCTAGACTAGATAATTTAGGGACTGAATTGAATCTAGGGATATAATAATTTAGAGACTAGAATGAACGTTACCAAAAGTTCATGGATTACATTGCACATTAGGTTAAAGTTTAGGGATCACATCGAACAAATTAAAAGCTCAATGACCAAATTGTACATTGAAGCAAAGTTCATGGATCATTTTAGTAATTATCCCTTTCCCATTCAAGCAAATTGGAGATTTTTTAATAGTTTAGATTTAAAATATATTATATTTCCTAGATCCCAATCCTATACTATGAAAGAAGACCAGATTGAGATAGGATGAAAATAGGAAAAAGGCATTTAATGCCAAGGTGAGAGCTTGTTTTAGGCCCAATTTGATAGTTTAAGAGACATTTTGTGAAATTGTGTCAATTACAAACAATTGACATTGTTGTTGCAAGCTTAGTTTTGGCCCTTAACAGAGATCAAGTTCACAGCATAGTGCGTCTCATCAAATTGGACAAATGAGACACGTACAAATAGGAATTGGGATGTTTAGATAAGAATATAATAGTTATCAACAACATTTAGGCTCTTGCTGGCTTAAAGAGCACTTCAGCAAATGAACTCCACTCTACATCTCCAATTCTCTGTTATAAACAATAGACATTCTTTTTTTCATTATATTGTAATCCATTGATATTTTAAGCCAGCTTTCTCACGTACCAAATTAAGTCCGCATCTCTAGTTCGGTCGAAGACGGATTATCAACTTCCAAATGCAAATATCACGATCATTTTATCACTCAATGAATCTTTTTCGGATCACGCATACTAAACATTATCTGCAACAATATATGCTCCTTCTCCCATGTGTTCTAAAGCACTTTTTCAAAAGTTTTTCTCTTTTAAAATGGATTCTATGCATCCAAAAATGTATGATTAAAAAAAAACCTAAACAGTATTATCAAAATCTTCTTCTCTTTTCACTAATGCACCCCTCCTATCTCTGTCTCCATCCTTTTTAACACCCCGTTTAACTTTTTCCACCCGTAATAAGAATGACATTAAACAAAAGAGCTTGTGCTACCATATTTTAACAGCTAGTGATTATTCTCTTATATGTAGATTTACAGTGAAAGAACTTGTCAAAAGCGTAGTAGTGTGAAGACCGACTTAGTCACAATGTTCAGGCTCATCCAAGAACGCCATAGAAGGACTGAAGGAGCACGTCTGAAGTCTGATGCAGCAGTCAACAGTCCAGAGATTGAAGAAGAAAACAGATTGACAGTTCCTAAGTCAAGGTTCGTCCGCATTATAACTTCCATGTCTCTCGCAAAACAATGCTGAGATCGGGAGAGAGACCCTGACAAGTATATGAACTGGTTAAGTCCGGATCAAATCCCCAAGAACAGCGCCCGCTCGCTTAAGAGTCTGCTGCCGTTTCAGGCAGGCTATCTGGGCTTGAGTTTAAAGACACCGAAAGTGATGGTTTTCGGCAAAAGGACACTACAAGTGCCATAAGTTGTGTACGGAGGACACTTTGGTGCCATAACTTTTTTTCGAAACACTTTGGTGCTAAGTCGGAGGAAAAGATATCACTTAAGTGCCAATTTGGCCGGAAATCCGACGTGGCATTTTTTTATTAATTTTTGACGCCGACGTGGCTCGCCGGAGGATGAGTCAGCGTGTACAGTCAGCATTTTTTATTTTAAATAATTTTTTTCCAGCTTGTACAATCAGCATTTTTTATTTTAAATAATTTCTTTCCTTTTTTTTTTCCCTCTTCTTTCCTTTTTCCTTTCTTTTCTTTTTTTTCTTTTCTCCCCTCGCCGGTCGGCCACCGGCGAAGCCCGGGAAGGGCTGGGCGAGGGTGGCCTTGCCAATGGCCGGCGAGGGACGGCCTCGCCAGATCTGGGCGAGGCGACCCTTGCCGGCGACAGGCGAGGCCGCCCCTCGCTGGCCAAGGGCGAGGGGCGGCCTCGCCAGATCTGGGCGAGGCGACCCTTGCCGGCAATTGGCGCGAGGCCGGATCTGGGTGAGGCGACCCTCGCCGGGCATGGGCGAGGGGCGGCCTCACTAGATCTGGGCGAGGCGACCCTCGCCGGCGACTGGCGAGGTCGCCCCTCGCCCATGGCCGGCGAGGGGCCGCCTCGCTTGTCACCAGCGAGGGTCGCCTCGCCCAGATCTAGCAAGGCCGCCCCTTGCCCATGCCCGGCGAGGCCGCCCCTCGCCAGTCGCCAGCGAGGGTCGCCTCGCCCAGATCTGGCGAGGCCGCCCCTCGCTTGTCGTCGGCGAGGGTTGCCTCGCCCAGATCTGGCGAGGGGCGGCCTTGCCTGTCGTCGGCGAGGATCGCCTCGCCCAGATCTGGCGAGGCCGCCCCTCGCCGGCCATGGGCAAGGCCGCCCTCGCCCAGCCCTTCCCGGGCTTTGCCGGTGGCCGGCCGGCGAGGGGAGAAAAGAAAGGAAAAAGGAAAGAAGAGGAAAAAAAACGAAAAAAAATTATTTAAAATAAAAAATGCTGACTGTACACGCTAGAAAAATTTATTTAAAATAAAAAATGCTAACTGTACACGCTGACTCATCATCCGGCGAGCCACGTCGCCGTAAAAAATTAATAAAAAATGCTACATCGGATTTCCGGCCAAATTGGCACTTAAGTGATCTCTTTTTCTCCGACTTGGCACCAAAGTGTTCCGAAAAAAAGTTATGGCACCAAAGTGTCCTCCGTACACAACTTATGGGGGAAAAGTGCCAAAAAAGTCCTAAACCTTTTGCATTAGTGCCAATTTAGTCCTAAACCTTTTTTTGATGCCAATTCAGTCCTAAACTTTTTGCATTTGTGCCAATTTAGTCCTAAACCTTTTTTTGGTGTCAATTAAGTCCTAAACCTTTTAAATTGGTGCCAATTCAGTCCTAAACCTTTTGTTTTTGTGCCAATTTAGTCCTTTCGGTCAATTTTGACCGGAATTTGCCGACGTGGACGCCTGCCGGCCGGCGGCCGGTCACCGGCGCCGACGTGGACAACTTTAATAATATTTTAATATTTTTTTGAATTTTTATTTTTTTTTTCCTTTTTTTCTTTTTTTTTTCCACTTTTTTTTGTCCCCCCCTCCTTTCTCTGGCCGGTTGCCGGTCTGGCGACCGGCTAGAGGCCAAAGGCCGGCGAGCTCGACCTCGCCGGCCACTGGCGAGCTCGACCTCGCTGGCCACTGGCGAGGGTGGCGTGCTCGCCTTGGTCGGGCGAGGCTCGACCTCGCCAGATCCGGCGAGGGCGAGCCTCGCCATGGTCGGGCGAGGCCCGACCTCGCCAGATCTGGCGAGGTCGCTGGGCGAGGCTCGACCTCGCCAGATCCGACGAGGGCTCGAGCCTCGCCCGACCAAGGCGAGGCTAGCCCTCGCCGGGCGAGCCCGCCGCCCTCGCCAGTGGCCGGCGAGGTCGAGCTCGCCGGCCTCTGGCCTCTGGCCTCTGGCCGGTCGCTGGACCAGCGACCGGCCAGAGGAAGGAGGAGGGGACCAAAAAATAAAGTGGAAAAAAAAAGAAAAAAAAAAGGAAAAAAATAAAAATTCAAAAAAATATTAAAATATTATTAAATTTGTCCACGTCAGCGCCACGTCGGCGCCGGTGACCAGCCGGCAGGCGTCCACGTCGGCAAATTCCGGTCAAAATTGACCGGAAGGACTAAATTGGCACAAAAACAAAAGGTTTAGGACTGAATTGGCACCAATTTAAAAGGTTTAGGACTTAATTGGCACCAAAAAAAGGTTTAGGACTAAATTGGCACAAATGCAAAAGGTTTAAGACTGAATTGGCACCAAAAAAAGGTTTAGGATTAAATTGGCACTAACGCAAAAGATTTAGGACTTTTTTGGCACTTTTCCCCAACTTATGGCACTTGTAGTGTCCTTTTGCCGATGGTTTTCCTAATAGTCTTCTTTTCCAAGTCGAAGATCCCGCCATTTCGCCCTAAGTAGATCTTCGGCTCCAACTGCAACTGAGGAGGGCTGGTTTTTTTGTAGATACAGCGCTTGATTTCCCAAGGACTTGACCACGTACAAGATTCACCACCGTGGTCAAGCTTATAAACATCGAAAGCGACGGCCATCCCAGCGACGTACATTATCAGGTTTGGGGCATCTTGCCATGATTTCAGCACATACCTACCTATAGGTTAGGAAAGAGCTTTCACACTCCATTGCCAATGGTGATCGGTTGAGATCTAGGTCGGCATCCCAAGAATGAGTACTGATATGGGTCGAGCGAGACTGGCCGATGAACCCAAGAGTCGCCATTGCCATCGCCATTGTGGCCTCTTGTGTCACGGCCTATGCTTGAGATCGAGACCGTCCGGTAATTTAGGCTTCTTTTGATTCGTTGGGTCGCCTAAGCTAAGCAAAGCATTTTCTCAAGGATGAATCGCTCGCTCACTAACTCACTCTAGAGAGAGAAACTCTATGAGAAAATGACTTGTATTACTTCAGTGTTGGATGATACAAATGAAGGGGAGAACACCCTATATATATAAAACCTATCAATTACCATCATTCATCACCCCTTTATCAAAGGGTGGAGATCCACTGTTCCCAACTAACATATACCCATTACATACAAGATTACCATTTACCCCATTAAATACAAAAAATATATTGAATATAAATATACATTTTCAAAAAACCCTAGGCCTTTATTAGTTCAAGGCTTATTTCGTTCCCTTGAATCATTTCTTAGTGCATCAAGTCTCAAAAATCTCGGGACCGTGGCATTCTCCTCCGCCCAATCGAGCGACGCCCTAGGCACTCTCAACTCAAAGTCATTCGCTTGCTTGATTGCATTCTTCCCTTGGGTTCACTCTCGATTCGGCTACAAGCTCCTCAACTTTCAGTCTTTCATCCACGAGTCGTATTGTAGAGATGCTCTTAATCGTGAATTCAAGGCGCTGCATCTCTTTGACCTCGTTGATTTGCCCTTTCAGGTCATTGTTTTCGTCCACGAACTCCACCTCCACCATGTTGAAATCTAGCGAACTTTTTCTTGAGAGCGGACATGACGTCCATCAAAACGGCCCTCTTCTTGGCTTTACTGCGGATTTCCTTCTCTTGGGGAGCATCACCGACAATGGCAACATCTTGGTTCGACATTCTCTTAACCATTTGAAATGCTCCTAGATCTCTTTGAACAAGCTCTCTTCAACTTGCTCTGATATCACTTGTCACGGTCCGATGCTTGAGATCGAGACCGTGCAGTAACTTAGGCTTCCTTTCGTTCGTTGGCTCGACTAAACTAATCCTTTTTCTCAATGATTGATCGCTCACTTGCCCCCTAACTCACCCGAATAATATAGAGAGTAAGTGTTTTGAGAGAGAAGTTTTGAGAGAGAATGACTTGTATTATTCAAGTATTTGATGATATATATATATGAGGAGAAGAGCACCCCTATTTGTACATGAGGCCTATCAATTACTATCATTGATCACCACTTAATCAAATGGTGGAGATGCACTCTCTTCAACTAACGGCTATCCTATTAAATACAAGATCATCATCTCCCCATCAAATACAAGAAATATCTTGAATACATATATACATTTTCAAGAAACCCCGGGCCTGTATCAGTTCAAGACTTATTACGCTCCCTTGGATCATTTCTCAGTACATCGAGCCTCGCAAAACCTCGGGACCATGACACTCGACTCTTCTTTGCCGATGTTCTTACGTGCCGGAGTGGAGGAAGAAGAGACTCGTGCTGCTTCCTTGTCCAATTAAGACAAAAAAAAAAAAAAAAGGAACAAGTAGGAAAGCTATCCAAATCTCGGGCGTTGCTATCAAACACCATGCGTGTGCAGCTCGTGTGGGCTTCATCAATTCCGCTCGCCAACCCCCCTCACGCCCACGGCCCAAAGCGATGAGTCCGTGTCCATCTCGCGGCCGCTCGGCCCTCCGCTTCGTTCGTTTCTTTCTCGCCTCCCCTCTATTTATAGCCCGGTTTCACCGTCTTCTCCGTCACCGTTTCCCCTTCAATCATCAACGCCCCCCTTGGAAGATATCTCTTTCCCCCACTACTCTTCATCCGAAAGTCTTCTTCTTCGTCTTCAATCCTCGCCCCTTCGATCTTCACCCGCACCCACCACCCAAATGGATCCGACCCACCACTCGACCACCTCTCATTCCCACGCCCACCATACGCCCAACACCAGCGACCTCATGGCCAGCGCCAAGCTCGTGGCGGAGGCCGCCAAGTCCACCTTCAGCCACGAGTCCGACAAGATCGACCGGGCCAGGGTCGCCGGGGCCGCCTCCAACCTCCTCGAGGCCGCCTCCCACTACGGTAAGCTCGAGGAGAAGAGCTTCGGCAAGTACGTGGAGAAGGCCGAGGACTACCTCCACCAGTACGGGTCCTCCCACCCCTCCGCCGCCGCCGCCGCCGCCGGCCACCACGCCCCGCACGCTGGAGCCCCTGCTGCCGCCGCGGAGGAAGCCGCCGGCGCCGGCGCCGGCGCGAGGCCCCACCACTCGTCGGCCCATTCCGGGGGCGAGGAGGAGCACTCCGGGAGCGGCGGGTACGGGGATTACATGAAGATGGCACAAGGGTTCCTCGGCTCCGGCGGCGGGAACGAACATTCCGGGAGCGGCGGGGGATACGGGGACTACATGAAGATGGCTCAGGGTTTTCTCAAGAAGTAGTAGCGATCGTCGCTAGCAATTACAGAGATATCCCGTGAATCTTCAGTAGTCTGCGATGTGTCGGGCGCCATCTCTCCCTCTGTTTACGTTGTTTGTACTTGTACTTGTGTTTGTGTTTGTGTTTGTGTTTGTGTTTGTGTTTGTTGTTCACTTGTGAATTGTGATTGTAATCGGCTGAATCGCAATATTACTGATTTTCTGGTCATTTGGAACGTCTGATTCCTGCTTGATTACGTTTTTCCGTCGCGTCGCGGCGATTCATCGATTATGCGAATCGCCGGAAGTGATCAAGAGATCATCCGGGCAGTCGGATCTGGGAGAATTTCTCCCGGTTCCGGCGAGGGACTCGATTCGTTGAATTGGTCAAACAAAGTTGAGTGAATGGTAGCAAATGGATGGGCGATAAAGATAAAGAGAAAAAAAAAGAAATGGAAAAATCAAGAAAAGGGGGATTTTATATCGTGGCCGGAGCGTCACCGCACGATTTGGATGGCCACCAGCGAGAGCGACGGGTCGGTCGTTGCAATAATGTTTGGGAGTTGCAACGTTGCCGACGTTGACCTCCCGATTTTGTACGCGGAGAAATCCCTTGTTTGCTTCGCGACGAGTGGGTTGACCAGGGCAATGGATTTTTAGGTCTACTAGATTTGTGTGGGAAACGTTTTTGGGAGGTGAAGAAAATGGAAGAGAAGGAAAGAGAGAATGGATGGAGGGATTATGATTTCTCTCTTCTTCCTTAGTTCTTTTCCCGAGTGTCATCTCTAATGAAAAATATAGCCCCATGAGCGAAAGTGAAAGCTCCTGTCGTGATGAATCCTGCGATGTATGGGTGATGGGTGTGTGGTGCGGTGAAAGCAGTAAAGTTTTGTGCTTGCTATGAACGCATGAGCAGGTATAGAGTACTGCGTGTTGAGCTATCAAGAGAGTAATAACACCTTAAAAGGCTAGAGCAATACCCTCATTGAAGATGGATCAAACACATTACTTGTATCATAAAGACCTTCATGGCCACGCCCCGGTCGCCCCTCACGGAAATGTGAAAGGCGAAGGTAAAAAATGTCTAAACAATCATAATTACTGTTCATCACTGTAACGCACTGCTCAAGCACCGTTTGACACTGTAATAGTATTGTAGCGGACTGTAACAATAAAAAAAAATATCATCCGAAAGCTTTGCAGTTTGAGTTGCATGTGCTTGCCGGTGAATATTTGGTCGGATGGTTAGTTGAGGTATGTTTTGCGACTAAATTGTGCATTTCAAGCCTTTATAAGATTAAAAAAAATTAGTATAAGATCCATTTTAGAAATTACTTTGAGAAAATGACTTCACTTTAAAATTTCCCCGAGGTTGAAAGTAAGAATTTATTTTTTTGCTGGTATAAATTACACAAATGTTGCTAAGTGGGCTTAGATCAAAAAGAAAAAAGAAAACTTTTGCAAATTGTAATCATCGAAAGAAGACGAGGGCAGTATCGTAAAAGTAGGGGTTGGTGGTGGCCTCGTGGCCTCCGTCCGTCCAGTTCCATAAGCATTCTTAATTTAAAAGGAAAAAATGTCCGAAAAATTAGGAAAAATACCACAAAAAATCCCAAACTATGTCACTTATGACAAATTTATTCTGAACTTTTTTTTTGTGACACGAAAAACTCCAAACTATGCCACTTGTGACACATTTACCTTGAATTTTTTTGTGACACGAAAAGCCCCAAACTATGTCACTTATGATACATTTACCCTGAACTTTTTTTTGTGACACGAAAAACCTCAAACTATGTCACTTAGCGACGCCGGATCGAGAAGTCGAGCTTGGTAGAAGAATATTCTTCAAATCGTTCAAATGGAGTAATTACGAAAGCGCGAGAGGCAAAAGAGTGGCCGAACGAGAAAAAAAAAGGAGAAAATGCCAGGACTCAAATCGATACCGGAGACGAAATTTAAGGTCCGCAACTGCAATTTCGCCTTTCCTCAGGGACCACACTCCGCATCGCCGCGAATTCCGCTAACCCCAAGGGAAGAAACCGGTGCGGCGCGCCTGCGCACGTGCCGGGGGGGCTCATGCGACGTCGTTCTGTCCCCCGGAAGAATGTTACATCATATGTTGTTTTTATATTATTATGTTTTTTTTTTTGGTGGGGGTCATCTTCTCCGTGGGAAGATATCGAGAGACGGGGAGAGAGAGAGAGAGAGAAGGGGCCCCCCCGTTCTTCGATCTCTGCTCCGATCCCCATCCTCCATCGCCTGCAAATCCTGCAAATCGCCGCAATCTTTCTCCTCCCTCTCTCTCTCTGTCTCTCTCTCTCCAATTCGAGGTAATCTTCTTCGGGTTTCGATTCGTGGCGCTTCGTTTTTGCTCGTGGTCGGGCTTTGTTCGACGCAAATTCAAATCGCTTTCCATGCCCCCCCGTGAGCACCGTACGCTCGGGTTTCTCGTGGATGAATTCGGTGGATTTGGTCGTCGTGTGCTGTTATTGTGATGTGCCCTTTTGATGCATCGGAAGCACCGCAGAATCATTGCTGTGTCGGTTTTCTTCATAATGGCGAGCGTGTTTCTGGGCTGCCTCTTCTGGGAAAAGTACTCTCCCTTTTTTTTTCCTTGTTCATTCCGCGATGTAGAAAATAGAAATGGGGGCGATGGGTTTTCGTGATTGCATCTAAAGCTTTATGGGTCTGTTTATGCATAGTTGGTAGCTCTTGCTGATTTTCCAAACGTTGCTCGTCGACGCGCACGTTCCGAAATTTGATCACTGGATGCAGCTCCTCTGTTAGGAGGATAAGAACTATGGTAGGATTAAGAGAGATAGGGTGGCTTGAGAATGCGGTTTGCATTTGATTTGGCGGGCGTCTCTCGAACATCGGTGTGGCTTTGAGAGGTTGCCGCCACCAATAGGAAATGCACGCTTAGCCCTTTTTTTTTTTTTTTGGTTCAATGAAATTAATGGCAGCTTACTAATCGGGATAAGCGTGGAGCAGTGTAACTTTTCTCGATGGCATTGCGGTTGTTCGAGAGAATTAATGATGGTTCAGCTGACATGATCTTGTGATTTCTGGTGGAATATTTACCGTTTCATATGAGCGCGTGAAGATTGAATCACTTGGAGCGCACTCCATTGTTCCCCATTAGTTCCACTGCATTTTTTGTATGGAAACTGTAGTCATCAAAAATAAAATATCATGAGTTGTATGCATAAGGTTAACTGTTTTCCTTGTGTATAATTCAGGTGTGGTTCGGATAAACAAAGTTGTTGCCTCACCAGTGAGTCGGAGAAGGGAGCTAAAAAAAAGAAACTCACAGGCTGTATTCTGCTCGAGATTTCTTCTTTGAGACTTTTTTTAGGTTAGATGGCATGCCATTCGCGATTATAGCCTTTATGACCTTCCCCCTCGAGCAAATTGTTTGATTGTTGCGATGTGGAAATTTACGTCGAATGTCATTTCAAGCTTCGGATTGAAAAAAAGCTCCAGTGAGCCCAGTCGAATATGTCAGGAGTGCTCAGATGATGAGGTTGCTTCGAATGTGAGCAGGGACGAAGGCTTGGAATGCCCGATATGCTGGGAGTCATTCAATATTGTTGAGAATGTGCCACATGTCTTATTGTGTGGCCATACAATCTGCAAGAATTGTGTCCTCGGCCTTCAACCAGCTCTTTTGAATTTTCCGGGACAAAAAATTAAAATACCCTTTCTCATTTCCTGCCCGTGGTGCCACTTGTTGTCGTTAAGGTTGATTCATAGGGGGAACCTAAAGTTCCCTCGCAAGAACTTCTTCCTTCTTTGGATGGTCGAGAGCCTGAATGGGGACCGGACCAAGTTTACTTCCAGTTGCTCTCTTGAGAATCAACCAGTTAGCTCTCCAAAGCGCAATCTAGCTCTTGGAAATCGAGCTGGCAATGGTAGCCTCAGAAGGCAGCCGAGTTCTCGAAATTCCGGGCAATTGTCCCAGATGGAAATGGTCGGTCGCGGTCCCGATGGGCAGCATTCCCCTTTCCCTAAATCTCTGGATATATTCATTGACATTATGTCAAAGTTCCCATTGGTTATCGTGTTTCTCCTGATTCTGTTTTTTGTGCTGCCCGGTTGTGCTGTAATCTTGCTCCTGTATCTTCTGCTCACTATTCTTTTTGCGATACCCTCATTTTTGGTATTGTACTTCGCATACCCTGTTTTGGGATGGCTGGTGAAGGAGATAACTTCGTGAGATTTAGGTTTTCAGTGTTGAAGCCTGGGATCCTGCCCCATTAAGATGTCTCTGCTGTCTGCCCAAGAGGCGATGTAGTTGGCCATCTTCTCTGCAGTTGCCATGCGAATTGATTCAGGTCGTTGCTTCACCTACTTGATTAGCTTTTTATAGAGGGGAAGTTTGAGATGTTTCTTGGAAATGTATCTATTGCATTTGGGAACGCGTTAAAGAGGTTGTCATTCATTTCAATGGCATTGATTGTGCATCAAGCAGCTGGTGGTACAATGTAAGTCTATTCTATGTTGATGCATAGGAGGTACAAGAAGAGTATCCAAAAGGTCCTCCACTTTCTTGGCAGCCATGGTGGAGATATAGATGGGGACAGTACTTGTATGGATGTTTAATTGCATCTCTTCTGCATACTGCCCTTGCTATGCCGCGTTTTTAGCTCTACTATTGCTGGCTTTTCATTATGGGCTAATAATGTGTTTAGGGGAATAGTAATATGTATTTTCTTTACATGCTCTTTTCGCTACTTTTTTTCCCCTTTAATTTAGTCTTGGGTGATGAAACTTGTCGTATGCACTGGTGCCTTAACAGCGAATGACAAGAAGCGGCCATGTAATATCTTTGCAAACTCAAACTGTACAAGGTTATTCTCTTGATCACACCGAGAAACAGATAGGAAGGAATATATTTTACATCCTGCCAGTCAGGGCTGCTGTTTTCAGAAGCAGAAACATGTTTTTGGAAGTTTCCCAGTGGTTCTGAGTATATGTGCTTTATCTTGGGCCTTCGACTCTTCGCTCTTTTGCCTATCCTCTGCCTGTGCTCTCGCCGCGGCCGCAATCTTTTCAATCCTTTCCATCTCGGCCCGAAATGATTGCAACGCTTTGGCTCTTTTTCTCTCCACTTCACTCTGCAGCCATATTACAAAGAACATAGGAAGAGTGAAAAAACCCTTAATTTTATACCTAACTGCGAACTGTTAGCTTTAACCGAACCTCTTTCACGTCCAATTTGCGTCTGGCCTTCTTCTTCTTCTCGGTCTCCCACGAGACTATAGTTGTCTTCAGGTTGTCGTACCTGGGAAAAAGAAACCGTGTTAAGGGGAAATTGGTCGGAACTTTTTGAACGTGATGTTTCAGCCAATGGGCAATTCTTTTTCTCCGAGAGGTGACGAAGATGAAACTGAATCAAGTAATAAAAAGCTGACCTTTCCCTGATCCTAGACATCTCCTGCCTGATCCAGGCATCCGCTTTCGATTCGCCTCCAGGAATTGCCGAACTTTGCCTGGTTTTGAATTCAGGTGGCGGTGGAGCCGGGGGTTTGATGGTGGAAAGCTGTTCGGATGTCGGAGACGACGTCTCGGGTTTCATACTGGTGGCCTTCTTGAACTGTTTATCAGCTGATGATGAGGCCTTCTTGATGGAAGGGGATGGTTTTGGCGGTGCGGGCGCTCCTTCTTTGGCGTCCTCGGTGTCTTCCAAGAGCTTCTCGGCAAAAGTTGGACGTTTTTGCACGGGTTGGGCAGGGCCGGCTATCGGTATTTTTCTATCTAGGCTATCCATTGATTCTGCACCTGTCAATTCAAGAACCCTTTTGTCCCATCAGATGCCACCACATAGAATCATTTATACATGCACTTGTCTTTAATCAGTGCGTAAGATCGCCCCAGATGCCGTACCATTTTCTAGTGGCGTCGATGCGTTTTGCCTTTTGGACTTGGCCTTGGTTAAGGTTCTCTTGGGGCCCGTGCTCGTCGGGCTGCGTTTGGGCGAGGCGGAACCTTCGAGATTGTTGACTGCAAAGGCTGCGGCAGCCACGGCAGCGGCTAGTTCGTCTTCACCGGCGCTGTATCCATCACTCCGGCTCATTTGTTTGGAGAATTGTCTCTGCAACCAACTTTGGCTTCTCTTATCTGCAAGAACTTGATGAAGGCTAATCACCGTGTTTAGATTTTGACAGTGACATGAAAGCGGATTTATTAGATAGATTATTATAGATATGAACATGGTAAAATGACTTTTCTGTGACTTTTAGCAACAAGGTGTTTGCTAAATCTAATCTTAAACCGAAAAATTTGCGTTCCAATGGCAGCGCCAAGCGAATGGCATATTAGTAAACCAAGTTAGAATTACCTCCTTTGAAAGATTGAGTCTTTTGGGCTGGCATCTTTCTGTCCCTAAGAGTGCTGCTTCCTTCTGCCTTTTCTTGTCCTACACCAGAGAATTTTAACCTAGCAGAGAATTGCTACAATCTTGTTAATACGTGATCTATGACGACATAATTTGATTTTCTGAGGTCCGACATTGAAAGATTAATCGTAGTCTGCAATATGTATAGCTGATTCAAGAGCATGGCACTCGACCGAAACTAGCCACTACATGATCATAGAGAGAGAGAGAGAGAGAGAGAGAGAGAGAGAGAAGAAGAAGAAGAAGAAGAAGAAGAGATCGAGATTACCTCGCCTGCTTAAGCAACTGCTCCATGGAGTTGGCGATGCGAATTGAGCAAGAATTTGGAATTCATGGTGGGTGCTATATGAAGGACAACCACTTGAGAACTTTAAGGTTTGTTTAACTTGATGATGTCTGTGATAGGTAGGAGTGTTGCAAGCAAAGTTCAATATGCTTTGCATGCAAAGCCTGGTTCGGATCTTCTCGGCAGCCAACATAAGGCCAAGCAAAGTATTCTTTCTCTGCATGCCACTGCTGCATTTTTGACTTACTTTCTGCTGAAGGAACAGAATGCTTTCTCTAACTTTTGTGCCCTTTTCGTTGTACTCTCTTTTGCAAAACGAAGCACCCTAAAGCCTTAACGCCATCCAAGATATTGCATAGTTTTTAGTTTTTGAAAAAGGTAAGCTTTTTCGGTATGTCACAGGAACTTATGGCAGAAGAACAATGAAACCTTTTTAGGTTTTTCTAAAAGGTGATGTGATTTGTTAATGCAATTAACTTAAAACTCCTTTCAAGTTTTGCTTGGACCACTAGCCTAAAAATTGAAAAAAACAGAAAAGGTACAGAAAATGGGGACCTCCATTTGGGCTTATACTAAGTTAAACCAGGAATTTCACCTGAATAATATATATCCGAATACGGGATGATTTGCAAGTTTTTAAGATTTACTTACATCATACTGAGAAACTCACCAACGTGATAGTGAAAGTTACAGACACCAAATTAGTAAAAACTACAGTGACCGATCAAAATTTACCATTTTCTGCCACGGAATTGTAGGATCCTCCTTGAACTTTTAATCAAAAGCCGGACACATTCAAGTCCTACTGTAATACTACATTATAGATTCAAACCAAAGGTATGTATACGGCTTTCATGAAAACATCTAAATAAATTCAAATTGCAGATTTGCTGCAAGATACTAAGATCCTTGATATTTCCCTACTAAAAGAAGGGCAAAACAGAAATGCGTGAATCTCCGAAACCTAACAACTTAAGCTGAATTACAAGCAGGAGCGTTGAAGCCTTGCAGCCTTGCAAAGACAATTGAATCGGCTGCCACATGGATCGGTTGCGATGCATCCACAGTGGTCGGGTTAAGTTCGGGAATGTCAGATGAGCCGGTTAGCTTCAGCGGGGTCCCATTGAGAAGCAACACATCACTTTGAATATTACCATCTTTTGGCGTCAAGTGGTACTCCTCTCTTTGGGCATGACCACCTGAAGATATCTTCTTCTGGTGACTAGGACTCGAGTTTGGATCATCGACTATGGACACATCAAAGGAGGTCGAGTTCGACATGTTGATCAGCACCACAGTCACCCCAGGCTGCAAATACAGAATTCATGATGCAGAAATTATAAGCAAATACATCTGCAATAATGTGACAATGCAGAATGTTTCTCTACAATTTGCATTAGTCTCCCCAGTCGTTTCATGGGACACCTTGGGGTGCAACCCCCTTCAATTAATTCGGATCGAATCAGAGTATCCAAAGAGAATGAGTAAAGCTTTTAGGATTAATTGACTCAACTAATCGGCAGTGAAAAAAATTAAAGTACAGGAAAGCACCGGGGTAAACACTTTTCGTTGGGACACAGTACAAGTTTTTTGCTAAAGAAAGTGTGCATAAATTGGTCCAAGAGACGGTCACAGGAGAGTGCATCACAATTTTCACATTGGTTCAACTATATTTATCATGAGATATCAGATAGTAATAGTATGATACTATAAAATGTGACGAGGAACTCAATACCGTGTTCCTTGAACAATGAGCATATGCACGCAAGTACGGAGAGCCGCTGTGAGTGGTCGAAAGAACCTCCTTTCCCATGAGGCGATGCCACAGAAGCGCTCTGTCCAGGGAGAAAAAACAGATGAAAAGAAGAATAAATCTGTGGAATATGTATAACACTCGTAGAGATCTTCTATTTTGATTGCTAGCTCAACAAATGAAAAGTAGCAAGAGAGACCGACCCATAGAAATCCGGGTTGGGAATGAACGTCGTGGTATTGAGAAGAGCATAGTTCCCTCCAATCAAGGCTTGTCTGCAGAATACCTTGTGGTTGAATTTAGATGTCATCCCCAGTTGGTCCAAGTACCTAAATTTCGTATACCTTTTGAGTTCATATCCTCCTTTTTGCTTATATAGTTGAATGTATGAGTATGAAAATCTACTTTTGGAGCGTCAATTCATGCCAGAAGCCCTTATGAAAAAATAAAGAAAAAAAAAACACGTTCATACCAGAAGCCATTGGCAAAGGTATTTGATACATCTTTGCCTCCACTGTTGTAAGCCCCTCCGGCTTCTCCGACCCACGGCGCGGTCCAAGGCCCGAATTGCTTGACCGTGTCTGAGACGTCTTTGTATGTCTTATCAATCTGGTCCAGGTAAGATGGATCTTGGACCTTGTCGATTAGCGTCGGGTCCACACCTGCACCATTTAATTTAAACAAAAGATATTCAGAAATCTCGGTTCTGTTCATGTTCAGCATCTGAACTTGCAAAGTTGTTACCTGCACCGAGATTGTAAGTGTGGTGGGTTACTCCATCGACAACGCCCGGTCCAGTGGCCTTAAGAAAGGTCTCGAACCATTTCCTGTCGTAGAACCCGGCGGGACCCAGAACCTTGGGCCGGGACCCCTCGTCGGGGTACAATTTCATCAGGAATTTCTTCATCTTAATAACGTCTTCCGCGTACTGTTCCGCCGTGAGTTTCCCAGAGACCCCAGATCCACACAGCTCATTTCCTGAGAAGGCACATAATCGAGTCATGACAGGATCCAACCATGCAAGCTTCACAGGACCGAAATTTACGTGAATATGGACATCAGTGACATATATATATATGGCCTCTCACCTAATTCATACGAATCGATCTTGTAACCTTTGTGGTGCGTGTACCGCATCAGATGGCGGGCATTGCCGTTTTTCCACTTCCCGACAAAGAGGCTGTCGGATTGCTTGGACCTCGTCCTCCCATTGAGGGCATTCAAGCCAAATGTTACCAGAGCACTGCAATTTCACAACAAGAGCAAAGTACTTACATTTTACTATTTGCTGCCTATTGGGACTAGTATTTGTCTAAGGGGGCAATAGCAATACCCTGTTTGGTTGAACAAGTAATTAAGCTGGTCCCATCTCTGCGTGCCGAGGCAACCCTCGCTGAATCCAAACATGCCGCCGTCCTTCTTCTCGAACTCGGGGCATTTCTTGTTGTACGAATGCGTATGCTCGTATACGACCTGGTCTTGCAATGAGCCTCCGACTCGTATTCTCAGAGGGTTAAATGCTGCAATTCGCAATGACAATGAAACCTTACGGTCACAAGATGTACAACAATGAAGTTCACTCTATAGTTTGGACTTGGACCAGAGATCAGCCTAAGCTATGGGATGATAACTTGTAGCAAAACATGTTACCCAGATCTTCACGGAGTTCAGAACGTCTTCAGCAGTAGCCAAATTCCATGTATGCCTCTTAACAACAATATACTTTTCAACTATCAAATTTCATGCCACTCGATACATCTAGAGTGGTTGCGCTTGCACTGTTTGTGACAATTTACACATGATAAGTAGATTATACATCGATATTGATACACAAAATGGATTTATGCTGGTTGCTTGGTTATTAGGCATTATTTGATGTCATATTATGCTTATCCTCATATGAAAATAGAGAGAAAAGGATTAATCACTTTGCTTGAAATCAACATCTCAACCCCTTCAAATTCTTATGGGGTTGCATCCTTCTTTACATGCATTGCTCATCGAACTTGAAAAAGATTTGTGCACAACTTAACTATTAAAGACTACGTAGCCCAATAAACCAAGAAAATCTCGCTTTGCTCGTAATTTTTCAGCGACTTTGATATTTCAACTCGATTGTTTAGCTCGCTAAATGTGATTAGCCATGTATTGCTATCATAGTTTCCATTCCAACATTCTTTCACTGCAGATAGGATGAACAGAATAACCATCGTATATAAATAAAGGTATATGTGTTCTTAACCAGCCATCAAGTTTACTATTACTATTGAACAGTGAAAAGTAAAAATAAGAAAAGAAATTAGGAATTATTTTCATAAAAATCCATGTTCTCTTACGAAAGCCAATATGAATTGGTACGAAGGTTATAAACTTAATATAGTTGAAACAATTAGGTCATTCCTTAATTCCATCTCGGTTCTAAAATTGAATTTAGATCTTTTCAATCTTTATAGAAATCGAAGTCCATTTTTTTTCCAAACTAGATCAAATCTGCATAAGTTTATTTCTTTATTCTTTTAATTTCCTTCATGCTATTCTTTTTTTTAATAGTTCAATATAAGGATAATCCAATGAGCAATCGGATAAGCTAACTCGAATAAAATAATATGGGACTGTCAGCAACTACAAATCAAAATTGTCGAGAATCGAATCGTCGAATTATCTGACCGAATAATAATAATGAAAGCCGTGTATCCTAAGTTAGGGACAAATCTACAGCTTCAACACTAAAACCAGATAAACATAATAAAAAACTCGAACAAATAAACTAATGAGAATGAAATTAAGTTTACCTTTAATAGCATTGGAGAGGATCTTGTTGTCTAAATCCTGTCACCACATTCACAAAACACCCACAAAACAAAACATGTTTACTTTTCGATATACCATATTCCCAAAAAGAAAAACAAAGAAATAAAAGTAACTAAATGAAAAATTAAGAATACCAGGTTGAGAATGCCGGCCGATCCCCACGGACATTGGCCATAGTCGCACTTGTCAGAGGGCCACCAGTCCAGGGTTGCGCATATGAAGCTGTCGTCCGTCACGGCAATGGCGGCCTCTCCTTTCACCGCCACCTTCACATCATCTGCTGCTGAAGACGACGACGGCGAGAACAGCGAGGAGAGGAGTAGGAGAAGAAGAGAAACCAAGCCTAGCCCCACCTTGGACTCCATTGTCGACTGCTAAACAAGAAACTTGAGAGCATCACATCGTAAATATATACATATGCTCTTGTAAGATCGGCAACGACATGTCTGGTAAGTGTTATCCTACAAGAAGTTGTTTAGATATAGTCCGCGTTGTTATTATCTTCTGTTTCGTGCATATCCAAATAGATATACCTCGGAACTCTATTTTTTCAATAGAAGAGATGAT